GATTCCTAAAAAATAAAAATAAAAATAAAAAAATTTCTGTGTGAAGAAATGGGAAGGTACATACCAAACAAAGTACAGTGATTGTTTTCAGAAAAAGCACTTGTGTGTGGCTGTATACATTTTGAGCTAAGCTAGCTTGGTTTTGTTTTCCTATTGACACTATTTTTATTTGAAAGAATGACTGACAGGCTATGGTTATTTAGACTTTGGTAGTCAACATTTTCTCAGAAATCAAGTGTGTCACATCAAGGAAAGCTACAGACAGTATTTGTTGGCAATGATAAAATTTGAGCTTTGAAGTGAAAATTAGAATTTTGGAAAACCCGCATCTACCACCATGACCTTGATAGCTTTCCAGGACTTAAAAAGACTCTTCTGATGAGATAGGTGGTGATAGTAACAAATGTAATTTTTTCTTTTTCATGTAAACTGAAACATGTCAACGTGTGGAAGTTCTGCATAACTCAGTTGGTATTTTACAAGTGACCAATTTATGATGCTATAAAATGTATGTGGTAAAAAGATCCATTCAAAGTAGAAGATAGACCAGTGAGTTTAACGTAATAGAGTACAAGAATTCATGGATAGTTTGAGATTTCCTGTTGCAACTAACCTTTAAGAAACTACCACATGTCAAGTTTCGAAGAAAAATATCCACAGTTACCTGAAAAGGATATTAAAAATGCCTTCCATTTCTGCCTACATATCTGTGTGAGGCTAGAGTTTCTTCATTTGCTTCAACCAAAACAACATACCATGACTGATTCCATACAACGGCAGGTGTGAGACTTCTAGCAGTCTTCTATTAAGCCAGGTGCTAGAGACTTGCAAAAATGTAAAACAATGTCATTTTTCTTACCTTTTTTGGGAAAATAGTTATTTACATACAACTAGTTTGTAATCTATATACTATACTTTAACATTAAAATGTTAAAATGCAATGACTTTATTGTCATTTTGGAATAAATTAATACATATTTTTAAAACCAAAGTTTAATTTATAATATTATATAAATTATATATAAATATATATGTAAAATATATAAATAAATATTAATTATTGATAGATACAGTCCATATAATAAACAAAAGCTTGTTGGAAGCTTCAGTAATTTTTGAGTGTAAAGTGTTCCTGAGACCAAAATTCTTGAGAACCACTAGTATAAGTCTCCAAGATAACATTGTAAGGAAAAGTACAGATTGTTTTGGTTTTATATTAGCATTTGGGTGGAAATGGATATAAATGGGATGCTTATCTTCTTGTATGTGTATAAAATTCTTATGGAAGGATATAAAGGAATTAAGTGTTGGTTGGTTCAGTGAGGAAGGAATAAAGATAAACTCTTTACTTCCTTTTGAATGCATTTGAATTTTAAACCAGATGAATCTATTACTCATTTAAAAACAGAAGAAATTGAAACATTCCTACCAGCTATGTTACGAATTTCAGGGTATCTAGATCTGTTATGACAAGTTGGGGCAAGTTTGGAGTAAAGGTTATTTTTCTGGCACCTTGCATTTTCTTGGTTTTTGTTTTGTTTTTAAGAAGAAAATGAAGCTTGCTTGTTTTAGGAGTAAAAAATTTCATTTCATGTCTAAGCCAAATACATTCATATTGAAATGATATAAATCAAATAGGTAGCAATTTCCCCATGGGGCCCAAGGTATACTGAACTTAAGTTTTAAGGAGGAACAATTTGTTATTTTTTTAATAGCAGTTATTTCTAGTTCCTAGTAAAGAAATTTGATTTATTTTAGAAGACTGTTATAATTTATAGTCCTGTTATTTAAAAGGTTTTGAATAAGTGCTGCATGGAATATGGAACTAAAAAGCTAAGTAAATGTTCTGACATTTGATTTAGTACAAAAAGTGCTTTTTAATACTCATAACCTTTGAGGCTTTGGGAATTCTTGAAAAGAATAACTGAGGAATTCAATTTTATTTATTCTGTCTGCTATTAAGTGTGCCTTTTGATCAGTGTTCATACTTTTAACTTTTGAATAGATAAAGTGTCCTTTTATGAAAAGGAAAATCATTTTAATGCAAAAACTCTTCAGGTTTTCTTTTTCTCATATAATACTTCTAAAATGTATTTCTTTGGATGCTGAAATATCATTTCCAGAGCTCTTTGCAGCAGGTTAGAAAAAGATATTACTTATGATTCTATCCATTAGTTATAGTTAAAAGTGTGCCTATAAAGTAGAACCATTTCCCCCAGTTTCTTTAGTTAACAAAGAATGCCTTTAATAATGTTAATAGGTTTTTCGATGCATTAGACAAATAGGTGGTTAACTAAGAAAGTTTACTTACCCTCACAAGTTGCATATTCATTTATGATGTTTGACATTTTTCAAAACATACGCATATTATTTTCTTTGTTGGCACATCTTAGAAGTAGCCCAGTTAATATTCTTCCTATTTTATATTTATGGAAATTGAAACTCAGAGGGCTAAATGAATCGCCTAATGTCATAGAGCCTTGTCAGATAATAAAAAAATCAGTTTAGATAGAAACAGGCTAGATTAGATTAGATTTAGATTTATTTAAAGAAGTTTAGATTTAAGCAAGACTGTCCTTGCAAAAAATGCATTTATCTATGCGTGCCGTGTTCCAGGTTCTGTGGTCAGCTGCGGAGGTATAAAGACAAGACACTGGTCCTGCCCTCCAGGGACTTGAAGTTTAGCGGCAAAGACCAGCTAGTGGAAGAAGTGAAGACGAGGGGTGGTGCCCTGTTGCATGGCCTATATCTCAGACAGTTTTGAGAAAGTGACACAAATCTTGAAGGGTGAATGGAAGTTAGTCTAAATAGGGCCTGATGATAGAGATGTTCACAAAGAGAGGTCAGGGAGGTCTCGAACAGCACACCGATGCTGTTTGGGAACTGTTCGTAGTGCCTGACGAGTGCTGTGCCCGGCCCCGTGCGAGGAGGAGCAGGATGTGAAAGCAGAGAGGCAGACGGTGTGCCCTAAATTGTTCTACAGGTTACAGGGTGCCAAACAAGGGAGGGTAAATAGATGGAAGGACCCAGACTGACCAGGTTTGAGTCTTCGTCCTTGGGCTTACTGACTCTCAGCCCTTAGTTGCCTCATACATAGAATGGAAAAAACATTCAATCTGCAGGTAATTAGGAAGACCAAGAAAAATAAATGTAAAGAAAGGACCTAGTATGTGCTAAACCTTTAAGTATTCAATAATGAAAGATGAATTAGAAGTGAGGACAATTCACTACGCATACTCTTAAGTAGAACTGAAAAAATATAAATTAAATCTTATTTATAAAATTGTATTGGAACATTGGGACATTTCTAAAACAGTGTAGCTGAAATGGTTCTATAATTTCATTGCTTATAGTTAGCCTTTAGGAATCTTTTCAGTGTGGCATTTCCTTATATCTTGTTTGAAAGCAAGACCTTCTGGACAGGGTATGGTTGTCAGATAGCGAGACTCCCCTGGGTTGGAATCACTTGTTTGCCTGGCAGTTTGTGCCGTGCCCTTCCCCTCACTCTCTAGCCCTGGAATGAATTCTTAACTCGGAGACCTGGGTCTGTCCGCTACTTGCTCTCTAATTTTAGACAAATAAATGACTTACCCGTTTGTGGGTTTCTTCAATATTAAAATGGTACTTAATTAATTTAGCTTTAGAGAATGAAATGAAATAGTAGATGGATGTACTTTCATTAAAACACAGTGCCTTAGTCTGCTTGGGCGGCCGTAACAAAATACCACAGACTGGCCAATTTAAACAACAGAAATTTATTTCTCACTGCTCTCGAGACTGGGGAGTCCAAGAATAACGTAGCAGGTGATTTGGTTTCTGACGAGAGCTCTTTTCTTGGCTTGTGGACAGCTATGGGCTTGCTGGGTGCTTCCACAGCCTTTCCTCTGAGTGTGTTGGTGGGGGGTAGATAGGTGGGGGAGGGAGAAAGGGTACAGGGGAAGAGAGAGGAAGAGAGAGGGAGGAAGACTGAGCCCCGCGGCGTCTTTTCTCATGACACTTATCCTAAAGGATCAGGGCTCCACTCTTATGACCTTGTTTAGCCTCATTCCTTCCTTACTCCAAATATAGTCACAGTAGTTCAGGCTTCAACATATGAATTTGGGGAAGGGGACACATAATTCAGTCCATAACACACAGTAAAATTGGAAGTGTTTCTTTTGATGGCTTTATGACCTGATACTTTGGTAACGATGTGTTAAAAGCCAAGCATGTATTATGTTTATATTTTGTTCTCCAAAGCTGCAGATGTGTATGAACCATTTAAGTTTCTGCTTTCTAACTAATTGGTTAGCTATAGGAGTGGTTTACAACCAACTTGGTATAGAACTCAGACTATTACTGTGCCTAAGGTAATTATAAAAATTCAGCAACCATTCTTTTTTTTTTTTTAAGTTTTATGTATGTATTTTGAGAGAGAGGGCAGAGAGAGAATCCTAAGCAGGCTCTGAACTGTCAGCGTGAATCCCAGTGTGGGGGCTCCACCTCACCAAGTGTGAGATCATGATCTGAGCTGAAACCAAGAGTCGGACATTTAACCAGCTGAGCCATCCAGGCGCCAACAACCATTCTCATAGTATATTAAGCCTGTACCGTTTCCTTGAGTTTTTTGTTTGTTTGTCTTACTCTAGGTCCAAATATAGTCTGGTTCCTATTGGAAATATACACATAGTTTAGTAATAATTTTAAAAATCATTTATCTTAATAAATACAACTTGTGAATGCAACTTTTTACTCATTAACCAAGCAAGCCTTTTAGCTAACATGGTAAAGTTACACAGGTTTTAAAGACAGCAAAACCAAACTTGAGTTTTGCATAGCAGATTTTGCAACAAAGATAGAAGCCTAAACTATATTTCAGGATATACAACTCCTTGTCTTTATTGTGAGTTTCAGTATGAATTTTGACTTGGACTTCTGAGTATATTTGCATTTTAGATTTGTGTTGGAAGGTCTTTATACTTGGTGTCCCAGAATGATTACATTAATGTTTTTTCTCACAGGCCAGCCCTCCAGATCTCTATATTGAAAGATTTAATATAGCTCTTGGACAGTATATGGGAGCATTGCAGAGCATTGTGCCTCTTTTCATATATATGGTAAGTTACAGCTGTTTTCCCTTTCCAAGTATCTCAGTTTATTGGTCTAAGTACAGAGAGATGCAGAATTGAGCATGTTCTGTTTCTCTTTTACTATGTATTATGTTAGAAATGGAAATTAATCTACCTCAATAATGTTTGATTGTGTTTACATAGATTGTTTACCCTTTTGCTGTTTAAAAGTGCTTAAATAATATTGCTGAATAGACAATGAGACATAATCAGCAGTCGCTCAGTTAGCATTTATTTTATTTCTGCCATATGGAAGATACTATGCTTGGGAAATAAAGATATATAAGAAGGATTTCTTGTCCTCGGAAAGTAGAGAGTTAAGCAGTATATCTAAAAACATGATGTATGATAATGCCAAGTAAGTCATTCCATAAAAAAAGTAGAATAATAAAATTTTCTTCCATTATGATGATCTCTTTCACTTGGAGAATTATGCCACGAGTATATTTTGTAGTCCGTTGACTTTGTTGATGTACCCTCCTCTCTCTCCTAAATATATAAAGCCATAGAATTTTTTTTTTTTAATGTATGTTTATTTTTGAGAGAGAGTGTGAGTGGGGAAGGGGCAGAAAGAGAGAAGGAGACACAAAATCCGCAGCAGGCTCCAGGCTCTGAGCTATCAGCACAGAGCCCAATGCGGAGCTTGAACCCGTGAACTGTGAGATCATGACCTGAGCTGAAGTAGGACATTCAACCACCTAAGCCACCCAGGCGCCTCAACCATAGAGTCTTGATGTTGGTGTTCCTGTTGGAGACAGGGGCCCTTAGAAACCATTTTCCCAATTCCTCTTGTTTTTTAGATTAGGAAATGGGATGTTTGGGTTAATCCTATATTCTGTAGCATAAAGATTGCTGTATGGGAAATACTAATCTTCAAAATGATTTATTCTCCATAAAATACACCTTACTGCGAAAACAAAAACAGAACATTGGGAGAAATCTTTATTATCCGCACGGGACCTATTACTTAAATAACTTGTGGGAGATACTTAATAGTAGAAAAGTAAGCAGTTAAACGTAATGACATGTTGTACATACATTTAGAGAGAAATCCAGATATATTAAGTAAAAAAGCAACATGGAAAGCAGTATGTAATATTTCTTCATAGCAAGTGTTTTCTTTTTATTATGGAAAATAAAGCATATTCATGTATATGCAGACAGCATTTTAAAAGAATATACAAAAGTTTCCACAGTTGAATGGGACCTTCGGGAATGCAGAGGAGGGTCTGTTGTGCTAGACTTGTTTTTAGTGCATGGTTTTATTTTGTCACCAAATGTGTGTTCTTTTTATAATTTTTATAATCTTCTGTTTAAGAATGAAAAGAATCAGTGAGCAACTTGCTAACATTCTTTGTATTTCCCACACCTGTACATGGAGTTGATATTTAAATATGAACAAATCAATCTTGTTTGACTTGCCAGTCATTCCTATCAGGATGCTTTTGGCTGCAAAAAACAGAACACCTGATTCAAAGTGATTAAATAAGGAACAGTATTAATACCTTGTAATAAAACTCTGCAAATAGGGCAATCTCTAGGGTTGGTTGAATCCATGGTTCAGTAGTTTCCAAGGACTCAGGTTCTTTTTTGTCTCTTTGCTGCACACAGCATCTGCTTCATCTTATTCTCATGGTCATAAGGTGTCTATAAGATACTTTGCACGGAAGCCTAGTCTTCCCTCAGTCTGATTGCTCTGTATTGGGTCATGTGTCTGCCTTTTAATCAAAAACCATTCTTAAGAAATACCATAGGCCGAATAACTTAGACCAATGATTGAAGTGGATTATATGTTGGGGAATCACCCAGTGCATGTCCACTGCCTGCTCAGCCTAGATCATTGGTAAATGGGGTACCTTTCCTTAGTGTTGCCTTTCGATGATGATGTATTTCTTTTTTTTTGTTTAATTTTTGTTTTTAATTTATTTCTGAGAGAGAGAGGGAGAGAGAGAGAGAGAGAGAAACAGCATGAGCAGGGGAGGGTCAGAGAGAGAGGGAGATACAGAATCTGAAGCAGGCATCAGGCTCTGACCTAGCTGTCAGCACAGAGTCCGACATGGGGCTTGAACCCACGAACTGTGTGATCATGACCTGAGCCGAAGTCGGCCGCTTCACCGACTGAGCCACCCAGGCGCCCCATGATGATGACGTATTTCTAAAGGGCATGTTATGTGTCTCTCACACAGTGTGGTCCATTAATATCTCTGTTTAATGTTGAATATCTTCCTGTCTTCTTTTGGAAATGTGTGGTTCATAGCATTTTATCTTGACATACATCTAATGGTAGCAGGTCTTTTGTTTTTTGATGTTGGGGTTTTATGTTTTAATTGATGCCCTTAAAAATTGTTTCCTAAAATAATTTATTTTTTAATGTTTCAGTTCATTAGACAAATCATTTCCCCCTAATTGATACACTAAACATAATTTATTTTCTTTTTCAGAATAAGTTTTACATCGAAACCAAGCTTAACAGAGACCTAAAAGATGACCTTATAAAGCTGTTTACGGAACATGTTGCAGAAAAGCACATTTACAGCCTAATGCGTAAGTATTTTCAACTTATAGGGATTAGGTAACACTAGCAATGATCTTTTTTTTTTTTTAAAGTTTGTTTATTTATTTTGAGAGAGAGATGGGGAGAGCACGAGCAGAGGAACAGCAGAGGGGAGAAAGAGAATTCCAAGCAGGCTCTGTGCTATTGGCGTGAAGCCCAGTGCAGGGCTCAACCTCATGAACCGACCTCACAAACTGTGAGATCACGACCTGAGCTGAAGTCAAGAGTCATACTCCTAACCGACTGAGCCACCTAGGCACCCCAGTGATCTTTTTGATTTTTGATTAGAGAGCATTGGCATATAAAGCCCAGTATTGACATCTTCTGCATCCTATAGCAAGAAATGTTGGAAGTTCAGTTCTGTAGAGAGAGACCCAGAGGAATTGAAAATGTGAGTTGAAGCCCCCTGGAGAGCTGGGAGCAGTTTAGCCGGTTTATATCTGGCCTGATACTTCCTCTGCCTCTCTGCCCAAGAATGGGGGAAGTTTACCCTAACTTTGTTACTGATAATTCTAGAAGGACCACAGGCTGTATCTTTGAAACAGAAGCACAGAATCCTCTCTGATTTTTACCCTTTGGTATAAAATCCCTTCTCTAGTCTGACTCTGTCACTTAATAACTGTATCTTTGGCAAGCTTCTTAGCCTCTGGTCCTGAGTTTTTCTTCCATGAATTGGGATTTGTAAAGTATTTAATGTAATGGCAGTATAGTTAGTAAGCAGATCAAAGTGCCAAGTTCAGTTAGTTTTTCTTTCCCCCTATTCTCGGGCCCCCCTCCCCCTCCCAGTAGGTGGCATCTTACCCTACCTTTCCTAAAAGAGTATACCTCTCTAAGTGGCGTTTAGGAATTCCCTACAACCTAATGTCTCAGCATCTTTTAAAAGCTCATATTTTATGCAATATATCATTGAAGTCGCTTTTTAGAATTTGGCACTTACTTGGATTTGCAGTATGTATTTTTTGCTTTCCCTAATTGTCATAAATAGTTTCTATCACAGCACCCTGCTTTTAGTATTTACAGAAGAATTATTTTAAGCTTGACCATAAACTCCTACTAATTTTTGAGTTTAAATTAAGAGAAGGAACTGTTAAACATTGGGCTGGTTTATTTTAGAAAGGCAGAGTTTCCAAATGATATGCTAGATGGAGATAGTATTTGCTTCATTAATATGTTCCCAATGGATTCTAGCATCAGAATAGAGACTGAAATCTTGGGAATATGACTTTTTCAAAACCTGTACATATATTTATAAATATCTTGAAACATAATTTCATGAGATATTGCAGCTCTTATAACCACTTAAATATTATCTCTGATGTTGACATTGTCTTTGCCTTCATTGTAAAATAGAACAGGGTATTTTGAAGTCTTTCCTTTTAAAATTCTTTGGAGAAATGCTACCATTTGGTAGAAAAGCTTATTTACTCTGTGAATATGTTTTTATATTTGTCATTAATTTGAAAATCAATTTTATTGGGCAAAAACAAAGAAAATTTTCAAAGAGAATATAGTTGTCCATATCTGGTGAGAGAAATCTCTCTTTGATCCATGTGAGCCTTCCATAAATTCATGATGTTTTACAAGATCAGACCATATAAAGACATAAAATCTGGAAAAAAAAATGAATTTTTTTAACCTTTGATTTGTGCTTTGTTTTTCAAAAAAAAATAATGATCATCATCTTGTTTATTATATAGTCTGATTTTCAGTCAAAATTCTATTTGGTGGTAGATAGGCCTTTCTTTTCCAAGTAAACTGTAAAGTTCCTTAAGCTTTTGTAAATTGGATAAAACTGAGTTTTCATATATTTATTGAGCAGTTACCAGGCATTGTGCTTAGAGTAGGGGATTTGGACAGTGACCATTGGCCTCATTGGTTGGGGCTCTGTAACAAGAGACACTAAGTGTTTAATAATGTTATGCGGATGATCATCAAAAAGATTTTTTAAAAATAAACACCCCCCCACACACATAATGCTTATTACTATGTAGTAGGACCTATTCTCCATACTCTAGTACAGTCAATACCTCCTTTTTACAGATGGAGAAATTGAGGCATAGAAGGGCTAATATTAATTAAATCAGAGAAACACAGCTATTAAGAATTGATTTCTTGACTCTAGTTGTATATTTTCTGACAATTATCCCCTCCAACAAAACAAACAACTACATTCAGGGTCTGTAATTTTCTAAATTCTGATCAGTAATTTCCTTTTTGTGGCTTTAGATACATTTGAAAATGCAAGTGTTTGATTTATTATTTCTGTATAACATAATACCTCAAAACATAGTCTTTTATAAAGTCTTTTATTTTGCTCACAAATCTGCAGTTTGGTCAGGGCTTTATCTCTGCTGTGCTCAGGTTGGCTGATGTGACTTGCCTAGGGCTTGGGGACATTCAAGATGGCTCACTCGTATGACTGGCAAGTTGTGGTAGCCTTAGTTTCCTCTCTTGTGTGTCCTCTAAGAGTGAGTGTCCCAAGATCTAGGACATGAGAACTGCCAGTTTCTTAAGTCCTGGGCCTAGAAACTGGCACAGTGTCACTTTTTGCTATGTTCTGTCGAGCAGGCAGTTATAGAGTCCAGATTCCAGGGGAGTGGACATGGGCACTTCTCAGGGGGAGGCCTGTCGAAAGAATGTAGGGGCCATGTTTTACTGCTAATGAATAATTGGTATTTGAATGCCCTGATTTAAAAAAATTTTTATATTATTTTTAAAAAGCATTGTTTTTTTTAAAGTTCATTTTGAAAAAAAATAAATAAATAAAGTTCATTTTGAGAGAGAAAGAGGGGGGGGGAGTTGAGAGAGGGAGAGAGAGAATCCCAAGCAGGCTCTGTTCTGCCAGTGTGGAGCCAGACACAGGATTCAAACCCACAAACCACGAGATCGTGACCTGAACTGAAATCAAGAGTTGGATGCTTAACTCACTGAGCCACCCAGGTGCCCCTTTAAATCCCCATTTTAACGATTGTTTCATGAATGAAGACATGTGACTTCTCATTGCAAATAAAGGTAGTTGTGTTTTTTTAAATTTTTGTCATTTTTTTAATGTCTATTTTTTAGAGAGACACAGAGCGTGAGTGGGGGAGGAACCCAGAGAGAGAGAGAGAGAGAGAGAGAGAGACAGACAGACTCCAAAGCAGGCTCTGGGCTCTGAGCTGTCACCACAGAGCCCGATGCAGGCTCACACTCACGAACTATGAGATCATGACCTGAGCCAAAGTCAGACGCTTAACCAACTGAGCCACGCAGGTGCCCCGATGAAGATAGTTTTCTATCCTCTCCCCATACATATATGCTTACAGAATAAAATGACTTCTACTTTTGGCTAGTAGTAAAATGATTTTCCTTTGAAATTAATTTTTACTTTGCATTAAACTTTGAAAACAGAAATGCTGTGATCTACATTAACCAGGGTATCTACAGTATTTTTATTTTGATTTTTCTGAACAAATGGGACAAAATGGGTCAGTAAATGGTAAAAGTTTCTTGAGAAAATGGAATATGTTGAGTTGCAGTAGAAGACTTATAGTTCACTTTGATAGAGGTATTTAAAAATTTGCTTATCAGTTATTATCTTTAGGTTTTGCCTTTCAGTTCAGACCCTTATAGTTTAAACTTTTTAAAAGTCATGAATTTTTTTAAATTTTTTAAATGTTTTATTTATTTTGGAGAGAGAGAAACAGAGTACGAGTGAGGAGGGGCAGAGAGAGACAAGGAGACACAGAATCTGAGGCAGGCTCCAATCTCTGAGCTGTCACCACAGAGCCCAACATGGGGCTTGAACTTGTGAACCACGAGCTTATAACCTGAGCCGACGTCAGACACTCAACCAACTGAGCCACCTGGGCGTCCCAAAGAATTTTTTTAATTTTAGTTTTGATCTTAAGAATTACTTCTCAGATTAAAAGAGAGAAGCCCTTGGGTAAGCTTGTAGCCCTGAGGAATCATTGAAAGAGTGGAGGAGCTTTGTTCTGGTTCCAGTTCAGCTGTTTTAAGCTGTGTGACTTTCGGGATAGCACTTAGTCTCTCTAGACTTTAATATCATGGATTGTAAAGAAAGAGGTGAGCATTAGAAGTTCACTAAGGTCCTGTTCTGGTTTTAATCAGTGGGATTGTTGGAGGATCCTTATTCTGTTTTGTTTTTAATTATATAATTTAGGGGGGAAACTGTTAACTAAGGGTAACACTTTGTTAGTATCTTTTACATGTAAGATCTGTATTTCAGTGGTGGCATGGTGAATTAGAGAGAGCGCAGTATTCAGAGTGAAACACAGGTTCTCAGACCGCTTCTGCTACCTGCTAGCTCTGTGACTTAGGATGGATTCTGCAGTGTTTTTTATATTGTTTTGTTTTTAGCCTCAGTTTCCCTACCTGTTAAAAAAAAAAGATGATAATTAAGCTTGTGAGAAAGTAAATCGTAAGTAAAGTTTATGAGAATTAAACCTGTACAGTACCTAGCACCTGTTAAATACTCAAGAAATATTTTCTTCCCGGTCTCAAGCTGCTCCCTCCCCAGATTCGCTTCCTTTTCCTTAAAAGAGGAGATCAACGAAAAGTCTTCTAAACACTGTTCTCCTAAAAATAATTTAGGTGGAGAGGATTTTAGTGAAGTGTTAACACCTTCTCAACTCTGTAGTTGTTATTTTATATAATTTTTTCAATTCACCCCAAATTAATTTTTATATATTTTATGTATAATTTAATTTGTGAATGTATCATTTCTTCATTTGTAAATGTATATATTTGATTACATCATTAACGTGTGACCAAACATGAAGATTTAGTGGGAACAAGACTTACGAAGGCCAAAATGATTGGCCAAAAGGTAGGAAAATGAATTGAGATAGAGCCTGCGTGTGGGGCGCGTGTTGAAATTAGAGAGAACCTTGAGTCGAAAGAGACTCCAAAATTTAGATTGCAGTTTTTAGGGCTGCCTGGGTGGCTCAGTCGATTAAACATCTGACTTTGGCTCAGATCATGATCTCCCAGTTCGTGTGTTCCAGCCCTGTACTGGGTTCTCTGCTGTCAGTGCTGAGCCCGCTTCAGGTCCTCTGTCTCTGTCTCTACCTGCCCCTCCCGGCTTGCATTCTCCCTCTCTCTCAAATATAAACATTAAAAAAATAATTGCAATTTTTACACATTGCATTCTAAAACATTATTTTCTGTAGTTCTTTTGTCATCCTTAAAATGTATCTGTGCCATTCAGAGTTATCAGCTCTCTCCCGATGATAGAAGCAGAAGGATCACGTTGAACCGTGCGCCTAAACCTTGCACCTCTGACCTTCATCACTAAGTTCAGATGTAACTTGCATTGTGTGTTTGAAAACTATAAAATCATTGCTGGCCAAGTGAGGTGGTGTTTCGTTTTTGAAAAGGCGTAGCTTATCTGATTTTACAATCGTGGTCTAGAGTAAAATTATGCCCAGTTTTACAGGGGTAGTAAATTTGTAGGTCTTTGAGAGATAAATTAAAAATTAACTTCTGCGGCGCCTGGGTGGCTCAGTCGGTTAAGCATCCGACTTTGGCTCAGGTCATGATCTCACAGTTCGTGGGTTCGAGCCCCGCATCAGTCTCTGTGCTGACAGAGCCTGGAGCCTGTTTCAGATTCTGTGTGTCTCCCTCTCTTTCTGACCCTCCCCTACGCGATGCTCTCTCTCTCTCTCTAAGAAACAAATAAAACATTAAAAATTAAAAAAAAAAATTCTGAGTCAGTGGTATCTGTTGTATCCATGAAAGGATGGAATACATTGGTATCTGTTAATGATGTTATTTGGAGAAATTATTCCTGTTTATTTAAAATGTTTTCATAAAATTTTTGCTGGAGAATATAACCTAAAAGGGGTCCTGTGGTTGCGTGGGTGAGCCAGGCAGGGTCTTGCCTTTACTTCTAGTAAGAAAAAAGTGCATGTGGTTGTAGCATTTGGAAAAGTGGCTTTTGAGTCTGATTGCAGTTCCTAAAATTATGAATGAAGTATCCAAGAGGATGTGGGGAAAAATAAATGATTCAAGGGGGTTAGAGAACATTTTATTTTCCAATTGTAAACCTTCTGACTCATGAACTTAGTGGGAGGTACTCTCAGCTCACTTACGGAGTACCGTGAAAACTAACCTCCATGAGTTGAATAACCTCCCTTAGTGCTTTAGCGGGCCTACACATGTTTACTTGTTCGATGGAGCTCTCGTGCACTGGATTTTTAAAAATTCTTTAGTGTTTGTCCCCTGGGGCTGTTCTTTCCTTGCACTTGTTTGCCCTTTAGTCTTTGGGGAAAATAACAATAGAGAAGCCTTGACAACACGTGTTCTGTCATTTTTATAACTCGTTTTCTCTTCTTTCAGCTTTACTTTTAGAAGCCCAGTCAACACCATTTCAGGTCACACCTTCAACTATGGCAAATATTGTGAAAGGCCTATACACTCTCAGACCAGGTAAATAGTCATCATTTCTTTTGGACTTGTTTATTTGTTTGTTTATGGCAGCTCCAGCCTTATCGAAGAGGACAGTGTTTGTCTGGTTTTTTTGTTTTTTTTTTTGAGGCTTAATGGTATTTGGATTTGTTACAGCAAAAAAAAAAAAATTGAGTAGATACTATATTCATCATTGTGAAATGTAAACTCAGAACTCGCTTGCAATTCTTTCTGCACTGCTGAAAACCAACTTGTTTAGGAAGTATAAGAAATAAATTTGTAGCAGACATTTTGGATAAAATTGAATCCCCTATCCAGTATTAATTGCTTTTTGGTTAAGGAGTTTCTCCTTTGCTTGGACCCCCACTGCAGGTACACGCAGACATACACACCCACAACTCCATGTTCTTAGGCCTGTTTTGTAACTTGCAAGGAATCTAGAAGTGTTGGTAAATGTACAGTCATTTCATAAGTATATCGTGAGGAGAGAGTCAGAATAACAGAACCAAAAATCAGAGGTCACTATATTCAGAGGCATGGTTTGTAAATTATCTTAATGTATCTATCTTAGAATTTTTAAAAAACATTATGAATATAAAGGAACCCCAAGATAATTTTGTATTTATCTTCCTATTTATAAGCCAGAACCTCAAACTTTTCATACAGTTATCCAGCAAATTACAAAATGCCTATAGTAAGAAAGATTGCAAAAGTTCTCAAGGTAGGGGCACCTGGGTGGCTCAGTCGCATAAGTGTCCGACTTCGGCTCAAGTCATGATCTCGCAGTTCATGGGTTTGAGACCCACGTTGGGCTCTGTGCTGACAGCCTAGAGCCTGAAGCCTGCTTTGGATTCTGTTTTCCCCTCTCTCTCTGCCCCTCCCCTGCTCTCACTCTGTCTCTCTCAAAAATAAATACTTAAAAAAAAAAAAAAAGATCTCAAGGTAGAACATTGTTCTAGAATCTAAAAATATTATAAGAGATGGCTTTTTTGACAGTACTTTTTTGTGGAGTTCTTTTGTCATTTAAAGATTAAATGAAATAAAACATGATCTAAAGAGCTTAACAGGGTACCTGATAGTAAGCATGGCTAATATTAGCTGTTTTTATTACTATCCATTTGGGTCTAGTGTTTATTTTATTTTAATTAATTGATGGCTTGATTGTTTGCTTAATTAATTTGAAAGATATGTCAGAATTTAGCTTGCTGAAATGGAAACCAACTAAAAACTATGGTACTAGTAGTAGACTGTGATGTCAGAAATACTTTCTTTCCCAGGCTACCTTATAGATAATTAATGTCTTCTAGAGCATTCAGATGTAATGTTACTTAAATTTGGATCAGGCCTTGCTCTATTCTTGAGAACTTTAAACAAGTTATTCTTATAAAGTAATTACTTATATAAAGTAGCAAAACTTTTATGACATATGTCCAGGAAACAGATGTTTTCTAGTTTCTCAGAATTTTTTATTCATTTTATTAAATGTGATGAAAATGGCTCATGAATTTTTCTTTCAGTGCAAAGTTATGAATGATTTTTTTTCTTTAAATGTGGAAGGCATCCAAGTGCAGTATGACAAATTTTTAAATTCTGCCTCCCAAGTAGGCAGCTTTATCAGCTCTGGCTTTTATCATGTATAACAAAATTGCATAATAAAACTAATCACTAAAGGTAGAAAAGCCTACAGATATGTATTTATCCAAATGCTGTTTCATCCAGGTTTGAGCTCTTGTAATAGGATTCATACTACTTGTGAGGAGAATTTTGTATTTGAGAGTTGTCCTTTTGAAAAGGTGAATTTTATCACAGACTAACCTTTTGCTGCTCTAGGCATTTTCTGAGATACTATTAAACATATTTTGACATTTACATGTCTTGCCAGTACCCATTGTGTTCCCAGTTTAAGTAGTTTTAGTCACCGGACAGATTAAAGTTAAAATATTTTGAAAGTTGAATTTTAAATGTAGAAGTTTCTTTCATTGCAGTGGTTCTCAAGCTCTGTATAATGAATGCATCTGAATCGCCCAAGAAAGTTTTTTAAACTAAATTCCTGGACCCTAATCCTTGGAGATTCTTATGACCATTATAATTTTTGGTGTGTTTCCATCTGATCTTTAGAAGCTCAGTTGAGAAACGATGCCAGCCGTCCCATCCTGCCCTTCTTCATTTAATACACACTTTTCTTTGGTTTCTTCATCTTTTATGTTAATGATTGCCTGGAGTTCCATAAAATGGCATCTCAGTTTGACTCCTGCCACCCCTGACGGATGGACCCGTGGTTCTCCAGGGCACTGCAAGGGGACCCTAAAGCTGTGTTTGAGTTGAGCTGGCAGGAAGGACACTACTGAGAACATTTTTGCCCTGAGTTTATACAGTGGGTGAGCAGTGGATTAGGCCTGGTGTTGTTTCTGTGCTACCTGTGTGGTTGTTGTTGTTGTTGTTGTTGTTGTGTTGTTCGGTCATGTTCAACTTAACTATCCTCCTGTTGGGTATTTTTTACTTACCGATGACCCTGCCTCACACAGCATTAAACATATTTGTTTGCGTTTGTTTCAGATTTAGAATTCTTTACTCAAATCACAGTTTCTAAAGTGAGCTCCCTGGATTAAATACAGCATGGACATCGTGTGGGTTTTGATATCTACATCCAAGATGTTTTCCAAAAGGGAAAATTTGAAATGGCAAGATTAAAAGAACCTAAAAGGGATAACAGTGCTAAATGAAGACCACCAGCAGGGAAGAGGAGTGCTAGTTTTAGCATGCCCTTGATACAGGTGGATGCTAGTTACATTTAGCGTTCACGGAGTAAGAGGAAGACAGTGTTTATTTCATTATTTTTTTAAATGTTTTATTTGTTTCTGAGAGAGAGAGAGACAGTGTGAGCAGGGCAGGGTCAGAGAGAGAGGGAGACACAGAATCTGAAACAGCCTCCAGGCTCTGAGCCAGCTGTCAGCACAGAACCCGAGGCGGGGCTCGAACCCACAAACCGTGAAATCATGACCTGAGCTGAGGTCGGATGCTTAACTGACTGAGCCACCCAGGTGCCTGGAGAGTGTTTATTTTAGCTTGAGTTTTTCTGAATATTAACAAGGCTATTGTTCTGTTTATTTTTTTCTTTTAAGTTATAAGTCTTGTAAATTATTAGCCCTGCCTTTCACTTATTTAGTTGGTCTTACTGATTATACATATATTTTATAAATAAGGATACTGATTCACCTCTGTCATGTCTGATGCAAATGTTTGCCTTTTCCGTTTTGAAAGATGAACCTTTATTTTTCGATATTCTCTTAATCTTTTATCTTTTTCTTAATAATTTGATATCCATTCTAATTGTGTTCTTTTAATACCGTATACATTTAATTTGCTATAATTTAGTTTGGGCCAAAATAGGTTTTTATTTCAAAAGTACCTACTGGTTATCTTCAGCCCACTTACTACATGTGCAGACCTCTCTCCCTCATTTTTGTGCTACTTACTTGTTACTTGTACTATTCTATATTCTTAGGCCAGTATGTATATATGTATGTATGTATGTATGTATGTATGTATGTATATGTGTGGTGTGTATTTTTGGGGCTTTTTTGGTATTGAAGTGTAGTTGACATACAGCGTTATGTTGGTTTCAGGTGTATAACATTGATTTGACAGTTCTGTGTGTACATTACTCAGTGCTCACCACGATCAGTGTAGCTGCCGTCTGTCACCAATCATTATTAGAATATTTTTGACTATTTTTTCTATGCTGTATTCACCTTCATGACTTTGTTAGTATAACCTGAAGTGTATACTTCTTAATCCTCTTTATCTGTTTCGCTCATCCCTCTGTCCGTCTCCCATCTGGTAACCACCACTTCTCTGTATTTAAGAGTCTGTTTTGTTTGTTTGTTTTGTTTAATTAATGCGTATAGGAGTTAGTATTTCCACCAAGCCCTAGCTTTTTAAGTCCCCTTCCACTTGGAATTCTTTGCCTGTCTCACTCATTTTCCCCCCATATTTATTAGAATTTTCGATAGGTCCATTCACAAATTCTCTAGGGATTTTCATTAAATTTTGTTAAAACAGCAAAAGGTAAAAATACCTGCTTTCTTTGTACTATAAATTCTTTTTAGAAAGGAAATTTAAGGGGAAAAAAAGGAAATTTAACCTGTTTGTATATTCTTTATCAGAATGGGATTGCACTGATTTCCCCCCCCCCCCCCAACCCATTTTAAGTTTGGTTTCATATATATTCTTTCTTGGAACAAAAGAAAACTTTCCATTTTTCATTTAATTTGTCTTTATGATTTCCTTAATGAGCCTTTTCCTTCCCTCACAGAGTGGGTTCAGATGGCTCCAACTCTGTTTTCTAAATTTATTCCAAACATTCTCCCTCCGGCGGTGGAATCTGAACTTTCTGAATATGCTGCTGAAGATCAGAAACTTCAAAGAGAACTTATACAGAATGGTTTTACAAGGCAAGTTTCCCCCCCCCTTTTGACAAAAGATGTCCTTAGGCCAGGCTGGCTTGGCAAGGGAGGGCGGCCAGGGTTCCTAGAGTGGGAAGTAACTGTTGAATGGTCAAGGTGAGGCTGCAGGGAGAGGTTGTTTGCTCCTTGTCTGCGGAGATGGTACAGCTGCGTTTTGGTTTTGTGGAAGCTGCCTTTCACTGAACGTGGATTTTGAAGCCAGGGTTTCTCAGTGGGTGAATAGCCAGACTGGGAAGCCTCCAAGTGTTACAGCAGTTTTGATTCTCCACATTAGTTCTCAACCCTTGGGAAAACATTATAGAAATGTTATGATTAGTTACAATGTACTTTTAGGACTGAAACTAGCAGATGACTAGTTTTATGACGAGTAAAGAGGCTTTTAGATTCTGTTTTTCATATTTTCACTTTTGTCCTAAATTCTATGTGTTTTTTCTTAAAAATTAGAGTATCTCTTTACATGTGTCCAGAAAATTTGCCTTCCTTGGTTTTGATGAATACACTTGACTAATTTTTCTGAAATTTGCAGATCAGTATCATAGCTATATCCCAGAAAATCTTGCAAAGTGCATGTTTTCAAATAAATAGATTATACTATGGGAAAATACCCTGTTGTGTCACCAAATCATTGGAGGATGCAGTCAGGCCTTGTATTTTCATAATCCTTCCTCTTCGCACTTTTACATACCTTCTCTTAGTTGAATTACTGACATCAAAGGAAGAAAGTTATGGAAAGTAAGGCATAGTTGTGACCACAGTAGTAGGTTGAATATTGATTCACTTATCTGGCTAGACTGGGGATGGACATTCTCTCTTATTGGTTCTGAAGCCAAACTAAGCCTCAGAACACGTGTTGACCAAGATCACGGTTACTGTCTCTAGTCTCAGCACAGGTTAGGAAAGAAAGCAGAAAATCTGTTCTTTGTAGTCTCATGGGTTGGTATTTATTCCCTTTTTGCCCTGGGGCTGTCTGTATTCATGTGGTAATCGGGGTGCTGATTAATCCACTGATCATTTGCCCACTTGCTGGCAGCTCACCCACGGAAGCTGTGTAGATAGGTCTGGTAAACTTGACTCTTGGATCAAGTTAAGGGAAGGCCATAGGAAATGCTGGAATGTAAAGCTCATTTTTCTCCCCGATGTCCAGTGGCCAGGTGTTTCCTGACATTAATTGCAGCATTTCTAATAACAGTATTAGTTTCATATACAGATTGAAGCCATTTAATGGCATAGCATTTTACTTAGTCATATTTGAAGAGCTATTATATTCATATGGTTCAAAAGTCAAGATGATATAAAAAGTATACATTGAGAAGTTTTGCTCCTACTTGTCTTCCAGTCTATTCCTATCTCATTAGGTGACCATTTTATTAGTTCCTTATGATTCTTTTCAGTGTTCCTTTTAATATACAGGTACAGGCAAACACAATATGTGTTCTTATTTTTATTCCTTTCTTATGCATTCTGTTGTGTAGCTAGAACTTGTTTAACCAGTCCCCTGTGGATGGCAACTTGAATTCTTTCCAGTCTTGCTGCCAGACATATGCTGCACTGAACACCCTTGTACATGCGTAATTTTGTACCTGTTGCAGGTGGATCTGGAAAGTAAATTCCTATAAGTGGGATTGCTGGGTTAAGAGTAAAAGGCAGGTGTAATTTTGGTTAGTATCGCCAGTTGGCCCTTCACAGGGGATTGTGCAGTTTTGCGTATCCACCAGCAGAAGTTTGAAAGTACCTCTTCATTATGGTCTTGCCGGTAGAGTATGTTACACTTTTGGGTTTTCGCTGGTCTGGCAGGTGAAAAAAATTACTCAGAGTTGGTTTAATTTGCATTTCTCTTATGAGTGAGGCTGAGAATATTATCGTGTTTTATTTCTTATTTGGTAAACTGCCTGCTTATGTCTTTTGCCTATTTTCTGTTTGTTAGTCTTTTTTTCTTGAATTCTAGGGGCTCGGTGTATGGTGAAGGGATTGCTTGCCCAAGATAAGAGAGTTAGTTTTCTCAGTTGGTCTATGACTTTACTCATGGTGGTGTTTTTTGTTTTGTTTTGTTTTAAATCATGCAGAAGTTTTTTATTTTTGTGCAACTTTACCAGGTTTTTTTCTTTATGGTATATGGGTTTTGAATTATAGTTGAAAGTCTTTTCTTAAATGTTTTTGAATGAATGCAAAATAATCTGAGTATACCTTTTCTGGTTTTCTTTTATGGCTTACCATAATATTGAAGTCTTTATGCTTTTATTCATGTTTCTATTTGAATGTTTGCTTTTAATTTTAGAGGTGAGTTTATTGATGCCTTTAAAATATAAACCGCCTTCTGAAAACTTTTATTTCCATGAAGCTGTGTGTGAAGATAGCTCTTTTGGATTCCTCTCAACACCTTGAATTCACCTTCCAGTGTCTGGAACTGTGTATAAACACATCAGAGATATTTTCCTAACCCTAATTTTGGACCTGGAAGAGGACAGGGTACAGGACTGCTCAGTGTACACTAGCTCTTCAAGTTTGCTTGGACTGAATGAGTGACGGACTCCATAAATAGTCTTGTGTGACGTTGCCTTCGCACATGAAGGACTAACATGGCACTGCTCTGCCAAGGCCAAGTTGGTCATATTCGAGGAAGCTCCTTGGATTTTTGGTGTGTATTGGAATTTTTGTTTCTCTTAGTGGAATTCTTTCATACAACTTCCGCCTGAAATTTAAATGTTAGTATTTCAAGAGGCGATATGATTAAAATGTTGTATTTTACAAACTGAATTGGGCCACTTCTGGAATTAAATGAACAGTTTCTGCATTTACTATGAGGATTAAAGTCTGCCTCACAAATTATTCTGATGGGTGCTTTGCACAGTGTAGGCCCTGTCGGACTCACTTTACTCCACTGCTGAGCTACACCCCCATCCCGCCCCGCCAGTGGAAAGAGTATGCACACATCATATACTTAGAGCCGAAGGAAAGTCTGCCAGTGCTTCTGGCTCTTGTGTATGGGCCTTCTGCACTCTGCCTTGCCAGACCTGATGCCTTCTTTGATCATTATTTGGCTAGAATTGTTTTGGAAGAAATTGTGTCCATCGAGGCAAGAAAAAAACAACAACAACAAAACTTTGAGAATATAGTACTGGCTGTCCTGATCGAGCAGTCATTTTATGACTTATGTTTAACAAGTCCCACGATTCCTGTTTAGCTTTGCAGACAATTTCTTCATTTAGATTGTGTTACATTTACGTGGTGTCATCCTGAATTGGCATCTCACAGCTTTGATGTGGATAGCACAGCGTGTCTTTGAAGTGTTTTGGAATGATGTGTGGATGTTGTCAAATACATCCTCGATTGCAGTTAATGGGCATTTCTCATCCGAGCTGGAGTTCATGTGCAGCATCTTAAAGTACATGGAAATATACCTACTAGACCTAACATAGAAGATCAGAGCAGCGTTTTGTTTTTATCTCTTACCTGCATGATTAAGTTGATTACTGGAGGGTGGGGGAGGGCAGTTTGGTGTCACAGATCACATTGTGGAAGAAAGCTTGTTTGGGAGATTCTAACATGAGTGCCCTCAGACGGAACATTCTCTTTCACACCAGACTATGGGCCTCTTCAGACCTTGTGCCAGATAGCTACTAAAGGCAAGTATCTTGCAGTGTATTTGTTACTTGGATTTCTAGAACAAAATAGAACCTTGCAGAGGTCTTGTTAATCTTTTAAGTTGAGAGGGTCACTCTAGAATTGGTACTTTTTCATTTAGTAGCAGGGGTCTGGTTTTGAGGGCAGCCGTAGCTTGCCAGACTTGTGGTGTTAGACAGTAGCTTTGGCAGCCTCTTGCGTTTACCACATTCACACCCTTTGTGCCTTCTGTTGTGTTCACCTCTGTATCGTTCTCCTGTTGTGTTTACATGTTCAGCTTTTATTTAACCTTTTGGGAGCAGGAATGAAGGTTGTCTCTAGAAGTTGAGGTTCTGGATGTAAAATCCTGTGCCTTCCTTTTTGGTCAGCATTAACTTATTTGCTTCAGAATATTCGGTGAATGCTTACCGGGAGGATCCAGCTGGCTTTGGTCAGGTATCGTGTTAACAGTAGAGGTGTTTAAAAAGTGGCGTTAGGGCAGAGTTGTTGAGAGTTCTTTGGGCTGCCTAAGTCTAGTTCATGCTAGCTCATGCTAAGTATGCCGCCTGTTTTTCTCTAGATGCCTCAGAGGCCGTTTGGTATCTTCTCCTCCTCCTGGTAATTGAGACTCCTGGCCTTGCCCAACAGGGGGTTTCTGTCCTGGTCTGGAGCACAGCCAGGGAAGGAGAGTGGGGAATGTTGCTAACCTAGAAGATCACTCAGAAGCATGAAATCATTACTTGAGCCAGCATTTTCATAATCCATCTGTAGAGGCCATTTATGAATTATTCATTGATTTGTTAGTTCAGCAAATCTTTATTTTCTGCCCATGTGCTAGACACTGTTGTAGGTATTGGGTAAAAATAAGGCTCCGTTTTTATGAAGCTTATGCTCTAATGTTGGGAGGCAAATAACAGACATGGGATCAAATTATTTCAAATAATAAAACGTGCTGTGGAGAAACCGAGACAGAGCATGGGATACAGAGTGAGTGAACAGAGCATGTGTGAAGGGCCGGTCCAGCTAACTTGCACATGAAATGCCTTCCGAGGAGGAGACATTCCAGTGAGGACGTTGGTGATAAGGAGACAGCCACGTGGCTAACTCATGGCAGAAGTGCTGCAGGCAGAGGTGAAGGAACGTACAAAAGTGCTGGCATGTCCTGGCGAAGCGGGAAAGCCAGCATGGCTGGGGTGTAGTGAACAAAGGTAGAAAATGAGGGTGGGGAGGCAGGCACGAGCCATGTCTCATAGGACTGGGAAAATGAGTTTGAATTGATTTTGAACTGTGATGGAAAGCCACTGAAGGGCTTTAATCAGAGGCATGAAATAATCTTATTTATGCTTTTACGTAAGGTCCCTCCGGCTGTGGTCTGGACTGCAAATAAGACTCTTGCAGCTGTGTTAGGGGAGAGATGATGGTGGCCTAAAGTGGCAGTGGAGCCATGGAGATAATGGGGAGTGATTGAGTTTGGATTATGTTTTGGAGACAGTATGCACCAGAGGGACGGGAAGAAAGAAATCAAGAATGAGCCAGGATTGTGGTCTGAGTAATTGGGTAGATGGTGGTGCCGTTTACTGAGGAGACTGAGAAGGAGCGGGGGTGGAGTGGAGTCGGACTGCGTTCTGGCCGTCTTGAGCCGCCGGTAGTCCCGACTCCTGCAGTTAGATGAGGTGGGAGAGCCGGACCTACGTGTCTGCGGCACAGGGAAGAGATCAGAGCTGGAGGCAGAACCTGGGAGTCACTGGCATATGGGTAGTATTTCAGGTCTGGCATGATCACCATCCTGGACTATGGAGAATATGTATCTGGGGAAGAAAAAGCGGCCAAGGACCATGCTGGGTGTGGAGCCAGAAGTATTTAGGAAAGAAGTCATGGAACAGGGTACATGCTGCTAAGTGAGCGAGCAAGGAAAAGCTAGCAGGTTGGTCGTTATTACTCATTTTAGTTATTTGTCCGGGTTATTGTCTGAGAAACTGGAGAGACCAACATAGGATTTACAGGTAGCACAGGACCTAATCAGAATCTCTTCTCTGTAAAATGGACCTAGAATCTTCTCTTGGTGTCTAGGTTGGAAGTGGGTGATATTTATGAAGGGTCGTGTTCTTCCACTTGCATGAAGGGATTCGTGTACATGAAGATTCTGAGATTTTTCAAAAGCCTTAAGCAGTTTTCAGTTTTTAGTAAGGCTTTTTTGGGGGAGGGAAGACTTTAAATTATCCTCTATTTCACATGTGAAATGTGCCCTGGTCTATGGAGGTCAGGTAGCAGAACCCAGGTTTATCTTCAAACACACATTTAGTCTGAACCTATTTCTAGAACCCAGTGTAAGCCATTTTTCTAGATAGTCCTTCCTTCATTTAATAGCTTTTTATATTTAAAAGACACCACCTTTCAGTTAAGAATATTCAGGTTCTAAGTGACTGTACTGCTGTTTAAGTTTAATGTCTGTTTTAAGAGAGGTTGTTAGAATTGAAATACTTGCTTTCCTTGTATTACCAGTTATGTCAGTTCATTTCTCCCATTTTGATGTGTGAAAATATCTGCGAGTTCTGGTTGATTCTTTCTTCTTTTCTTGTCCTCAGAGGTGACCAGTCCCGGAAAAGAGCTGGGGATGAGTTGGCTTATAGTAAGTAATGATGTTCCTTACTTTTTCTGACAGTTCCGCTGTGTAAGGCAGCTGCTGGTGACCGAGCAGCGGGTGTAATGGTGCCCACGGTGCTCTTGACGGTGGTCTCATGAGGCTGTCCGTGTGATCAGGGTCTCGTCGTTCTGCAAGCTGTGACGGCTCTGAAGTCCAGTTGGGGGGACGGTGGTTCTCATGCAGCTGTCAAGAGCCTCTTCGATTCTTTAGTCTCTGCTAGAGTGTGATAGTGACCCAGCCTCCTTTCTGACGATGTAGCCTCCCTTCTCTGCACTCACTTTTTTTTTTTTTTAATCCTCTTTTGATGGATCGGGAGAGGGGTGAGAAATATGTACTGAACAGATTCTTAACGATTATCAAATGCTGTCTGCTAGTCATACTTTCTCCTGTTGCAATGTTGTTGTTTTTTCAGACAGCTCATCGGCATGTGCAAGTTCCAGAGGGTACAGATAGTGAATGTATTGAATGTACTTTCCTTCCCGAAAAGAGGACACACTGGAGCTGCAGAGACTCTATCGGGAGCACAGCGGGGGACACTCAGGAGCCCTGCCACAAAGTTATTCTTGGAAGAGGATGTTGGACTTCTTACTTTGGTTTGTAATTTTAAAAAACAAATAACTAACAAAAACAAAAAACAGTTGCTGCTAGACTTGGGGATGATTTTGAAATGGGACAATCTTTTAATGAGTTTATCTACAGATCCCGTGAGGAACGAACATCTTGAGAAGTGACCATCGCTAAGGGAAATCCAGCAGCGACCATCAGCAGCTTCCTCCAAAATCACAAGAGCAGAAGAATCTTTTTTTTTTTTTTTTTTTTAAAGCACTTGTTTTGTTCATTTGTGGATGTGGCACTTCAGCACATTGGCTTTTACACACTGAGATCTCTTTTGCTTTAAAATCGAGCAGGTCATTACAATGCAGTGTTTTTCACCCACAACCAAAACAAACCCCGTTTAAAAGAGTTGGTCTTTGTTTAGCGTTAGAAAGTCTTGTTCAAGGAAAATGCTGACCCTGCCTCTGTCGTAACGTCTCCCCTCACCAGTTCACAACTGTTATCTGCCCTGTGCCTTGAGCTTTGTGCACTTTGCAACTCCGTGACCAGTTGTTCACCTCCCAGATGCTTCCCGAAAAAGCTTGTGGTGTCACAGACTAACCCACCGACAAGGTGTCCGGTGTGACTTTGTAGCAGGGTACTAATGAGTAAGTGGGAAGATAGAAGCATGTTGCTCATTGGTCAGATTCCCCGCTGCCTCACCTGTGGCCTATTCAAGCTAACGTTGGGGACCAACTCTTACAGAACATATCCATTCCCTCTGTCGCTTCCCACGACCTGCCAGTTGTGGTGGTGGTGGTGTGACGCTAGCATAGGGTGGGCTGTCCTGTAGTGCCGAAGCTCCTGTCTGGTAGTGTGGAGACTTCTCAGGTGGTGACAGCTCGTGGCTGAGATGCTCTGGGGAAGCAGATACGGTTATTAAATCCAGATGCAATCAGTGGTGTGGGATGCCTGATCCATCTCATTTTAAATGGGTGAGAAGGCACTTAAGAGAAAAAGTCTGCACTGTGTCTCTTGTAGCATTGTGTTCGGGAATAATAGAGACGAGCTAACCCTGCTGTTGTGAAGCTTCGTGCCAGCTGTGACAGCTATATTGTGGGTTTTCCCCCCTACGCCCACAGTGCTATTTAGTTTCTTCTAAAAGACTCTAAAGCTTCTTCTAGTCATTTTTGGAAGGCAAAGAAAAGTAGATGTGGCAGGTGAAAATACTTTTCTTCTCAGTTTTGCTTGAATCTAAATTGAGCATATGCTTGACTGTTTGGCCCTGTGGCATTAATAGTTACCTCTTCAGAGAACTTGGGGCAAAACCAGACGTGTCAGGGATTTGGCCATACTTCTGGTTGTCGGGTTCTTTGTGGCCTCTGCCGGTTCACTCTGTCCTCTTTTGGGGAGCAGGCTGGGCGGGAGAGTTAGCGGTGCGGTAGTACGAGCAAGTACATCATCTAATACAAGTCCTCTGTTTGTAAAATTCCTGTTCAGAGAAGTAAACATAAAGGTGGTCAGATTTATTTTTAAGTACTTATCAACCAGAGTCGGATTTTGTGGAGGACTTTGAATTGGACTCACTTAACTCTGTGAGCGTCTTGGGTTGTACTGATGAGCACTGAATTACTGCAAGAATATAGACAGGCTCGCACCATGTCCTCTACAGTTTGACTGCTGCCCCAGTAGCATTCTGGTGTTGAGGAAGATCCCATTCTATCATGAAGTCCAAATTTTACTTTCTCAATGAAATGCTTGCTGCAGGCTTATGAGTAACATCTGCAGCTTAAAGTCTCTCCTGAGCCGGTTCCAGAGTATTTCTGAAAGGAATAAAATTGGGATGTTTCTTTAAATGTGGATGAATTCTTCATTACCCTAATAATGTACCCAAATGCTTTTTCTGGGAGAGTGTTTCTTTGGCCAACAGGGGAGCTTTCTCTGTAAAAGCATTGTATTATGATGTGAATTGGCATTAAAATCTTTGGATGCTTTTGCATTATTAAGTTAATGGAGAAACATTTTATATTGTCTTCTTTTTATTTTAATTTATGTGTTAACAAAAAGTGGACACAGTGTGCAGAGTTCAGCTTCTCTAAATATTTGCACAGCGACTGCAGCGAGCTGTGAGCCAGTGCTTGGTCCTGTGAAGCGGTGAGCGGAAGGCACTGTGGAAAGAACACACACGCTCTCCTAGTGCATGTGACTTGGTTGTTAACTCATATTGGCCCCCTGAGGTACATTGCAGTGTGAAAAACCTGTTTCTTCCTTTTGACTAGAAATCAACTTTGCTTATTTTTTTGGGTTTCTTCACAGAATTCTTGGCTTGCAACATGAGACGACATAATATTTGCCCTCCATTCTCTATTGACTCAGCACCGTTTACCAGAAAGTGTTTTCTTCTCACGTTTACTTGTATTCTTCTTGCCAGTACAGTATATAGTTTCTCCACCCCAGTTAAATCCGAACTTTTGTGGGGCCCGAAGCATTGAGGTCAGAAACCCGTACACAGATTGTCTCGTTAGTCAGCACGTGGTTGATTCGCCAAGGCCGACCGGCCTACGCGGGCAGCCTGGACCCGGACTCTCCAAAAGAAAGCCAGTGCAATCACCTCGAGCTAGTGACGGGGCAAAGTAAATGATCGTTGTTTTGAGAGACGGTACTTACTGTAAAAGTTGGCCTTATGCGTCAGTAACAGTGTCCTCTGCTGTTCCCTGTTGTCACAGCTGCACCCTAACCCGACAGGATCTGCTTGTTTTCTGTGGAGCAGAAAGCACAACCTGGCCTAGCGACTCCAAAGTTCCTAGGTGGAGCTAGAAGAAACAGGCCTGGAGGCAGGGGTTGTGCATCAGTCAGTTTTGTGGGAAAATTACTTTTTTTCCCCCTGTCCCTTTTACAGATTTGAGGCGTGGGATGAACACTGACCTGTGAGGGAGATTGCGGGGGGAGCAGGTGCCCGGGGCCATGCGTGCTACGTGCGTGGCCCCAGCGCTGCAGCCCCTTAGAGCTGCCGCTCCCCTCACTGTAAATGCCACGCTTTCTGTTGGGTTGCAAATTTGCACACGTGAAGAATTCCTCAGGAAGAGTTTGCACATGCATCGCCTCGCACTATTCTGTACTGACCGAACAAGGGATTTGAAAGTTTTTCAGCACAAAAGGAGACCTTCAGAGCAGTGGCCTGTGCACACGTTCTAGCAAAGGTAATGGTGACCTAGCAAACACGGTTGGTCTCTGCAGTTAGAAAGTGAGCAGGAGCACGTGGGTCATAGTGTTTAAATAAGCCTGTTTGATCTCCAGAGCAGCGCTTTCAGGTTTTGTCTTCTTTTCTTATCGAGACCAGCTATATTTTCTTCTATGTTTTCTCAGTTTTATGGCAGTTAACTATTTCCATGATAATTACAGAGGCATTTACCCTTGAGCTAAAATTCAGTTGTTTAATAAGCAGCTATTATTAAAATAACTGAACCTTGTTTTATGAATATACACTAATCTAAGATCTCAAAAAACATCTAAAAAGCTGCATTCGGTCTCTAGTCCGTTTGGATGTTTGAGTTTTGAGTTGATTTTTGTATGGTGTCTCGTTGCGCTTCAGAGTATTATGTTTACTTTACTCCAGGTCTAGGCCTCTTAAGAGAACTTTAAAATATAAGATCAGAATGTGACTCCCTTGACTGACACCTAGAAGAGGTTCATAGGACCTTTTCGGTTGTGATTGCAGTTTCCAATAAGCTTGCCTAAGGTGAAGTTCATGTTTATCAAAAGTTAAAATACAAGTTATAGGAGTTCTTGGAGAAATGGCTTTCTTGTTACTTTCATTACCTTGTTGCGGTTTGCCCCAGTTTCTGGCCACCAGCATCGATGACAGGACCCCTGTTCTTTTTCAGGGGTAGTGATTCCTCTTTTATCCCCACTGCTGATGAACTAAGTCATTGACACTTTCCCTCCTCCCCTGGCCAGGGCCGTATTTTGAACTTCTTTCCAGAGCCGAGTGGCACAAGTCTGTACGCTGTTTCTGCCGATGTCTGTGGTGTTGCTGTGGGAGAGTTAGAATCCTCGTGAGAGGTGCGTTCTTGACCTCAGTACACACTGGGCCCCGTCTTTATTTCTGGTCGGACTGCATTGTTTAGAAAAATGTTAATGGTTTATAATTCTAGGAAATTTATAGAGTGGCTATGGGGTAAATTTTGTGGTTTGGAAAAAAAAATTTTTTTGTATTGATTCTCACATGTCATTTCAATGTGGTGTCGATGTACTAAATGCAATAGGACTGTCGATATTCTCTTAGAAGGGTGGGTTTTGTTAAACAGATGGCAGTTTAATTGCTCTCATTAGCCCTGTTTGTCAATATTACAGCCATGCAATTCAGAAGAAATTATTCAGATGTGAAGTTGTGGGGAAGTCTGGCTGGAGACAGGAATGCTTATGAATAGATGGGAGGTCAGAGGCAGGCAAGAGGCTCTTGCCACCCACCCACCAGCATGGCCACAGCAAGGATGGAGCAATGAATTCTAGTCCCTGGTGGTGCTTATTTGTTGGAAAGATAGTGGAGCTTAGAACAGGGTGTTCTGTACATCAATTCTTCTGTTACTTAAGAACAACAAAATGGTGAATGAAACTCTTATTGATTGGGGATTTAAGCCATGGACTTTGGCTCTGACCTTTAACTCTTGATGGTTTTGGAATCACTCCTTCTGTATTAGGGTATATACCATCACTCTGAGACATTGTGGTTAACGAAATAAATCTTGTACAGATGTCCTTGGCTTGTTATGTTGCTGCTTGGTTCACTGGAATTTCGTTATGGCACAGAACATGGGATTTTGCTTACAGTGTATTCACAATGCCCGCCTGAGTGATAAGCACACTCAGCACGTGTCTGTTCTGTCATGGAGAATCAGCTGGCATGGGGAGTGTCCGTCTTGCCCTCTGTACCAGCTATAAAAGAAATGGGGTGTGTGTACTTAATCACATACATTTAGCACATAGTCTGCATACGTATGAAGTATCTATACCTGTGTACACATATGTGTCGTTTTCTTCTTTAAACACTGGCGCGTCGTAGACCTTTAATCAGAACGTTCTGCCTCGTGGTGGTTTGCACTGATGACATCATGCTTTAACAACATGACCCCCTGTTTCCTTGCCGAGAAATTAGTACTATCCCCTAGGGTTTTGTCATCCCACTTTCCAGTTTTAATTCGTCTCACTTTCTCTTTACAAGTGTCCTTCCCAACAGTGTTCTCACAATGCCGTTTCAGCTTCCGTCTTCCTCTTTTTTAAAACCTACGCTGTGTCTTAGTGGTATCGGCTCTGATTACCGCACCCAGCAGGATTCCGGGACTGTCGTCTCCTTTTCCCTGCATTTAAATCACCTGACAGTTTCCTCCTTCAGCTTTTTCTTTCTTTTTTTTTCCCCCCCTTCCAGCCAGTAGGGAGTTATTTAAATCCTCTCCCCTCTCTTCTAGCAGATTTTGTTTTTTCCTGAGTATAAAACTTTTCTACTAGAGTCAGTTCTTTGTGTGTATGTTTTTTTTCCCCTCTCTTGGCATGTGACTTTAATAATCGCAAATTCCAGAACATTTTGAATTTCAAAGAACATGATTTGGTATAAGGAATATCCTATACCTAATCAGAGAGCAAATGTTTGTCTCAGCTTAGTGGAGTTGTGTGTTCCCGGGTAAGGCTGTTGTGAACCTCAGTGTCCCTATATTAAGCACATTTCCCTCCCCAAATTACTCATGATAGCCTCTACATAGACCAGTGGGCTTAATTGGCCCATTCCACAGGATATAACAGTTTTAAACTTAATTATGCCCCTAAGTGACTAATAATAGACCTCAAAAAAGGTATTTTTAAAAATGTCCACAACTACAAAGAGAAGTAGATTAGTCTACCAATAGGTGTTTTAAACATACCTCTCTGATTACTTAATAATTAAGAGGACAAAATCATGATGATGAAGGGCATGGAAGATTTAAACAGCACAACTAATAAATTAGACCTGATGGAGATATCTAAAATCGCCTTGCACCTTCCACTAAGAAAAGAAGCATTTTTTTGCAAATTAAATCTAACATTATATTTGAAGTATAACAAGTGATGACCACAATGGATTTATCTGAGGAAGCAAACTGGTTAATATTAGAAGAACAGTCAGTGTAACGCGTCTGTTAATGGATTAACTTATGATCAGATTGTCTGAAAATCTAAAGAGTCTGCAAGGCAGATGAGAAGACTTCAAGAGTTTATCATGTTCACTCAACATGTGAATGTCAGTTACATTTCCATGCATCAAGCTGCAAACTTAACATCTTAAGATTTTAAATTTAATTAAGAAAATTTACAGTAGGAACAAAACAGTATAAAGTATAGAAGAATAAACCTTAAGAGCTTTATAAGCCTTTTAATGAGAAAACGATGATGGAAAAAAAACCCCAACACCTTGATTGACCTAAATACATGGGAGAGACTGATGGATAAGAAGATCAGCTAGGTCTCAGCTCTTTGTCCAAATTGATTAGTAAATTAATGTCATCCCAACAAAGAGTCCCAATGGTTTTCACTGTGGTCCTTGATAGGCTGATCCCAAAACGTAAATGGAAGAGCAAAGGGCCAATGATATTCAAAACATTATTTAAAAAAAAAAAAAGCGTAAGGGGAACTGGCACTACCAGATTTAAAAACTTCCTCAAAAACGAAAAACAAAACCAGAAGCCACTTACTCAGTTATCTGAAGAAACAACAGCAAAAAACTTACATAAAATGTAGTCATTAAAACAATATGGAACTGGTGCAGAGATTACAAGTGGAGGAACAGACAAGGAAGAGCTCAGAAACCGACCCACTTAGTGCGGGGGTTGGGGGGGAGTCACTGCAGACCAGTGACTCTGGTCTGGGGGGGGAGGTCTGGGGGGGGAGGAAGCTTCAGTAATTTTTCACAAAGGAAAGTAAGTGAACTGCACCTCTCTGCCTTGCACCAGCTGCAAAACAGCAATCCCAGGTGCATTCACGATTCACTTAAGAAAGTTAAAAGTATAAAACTTTTAGAAGACAGTAAATACAGAAGGGTATTTTCATGGGGCACCTGGGTGGCTCCGTCAGTTAAACATCCAACCCTTGGTTTCGGCTCAGTCATGGTCTCCCAGTTGATGACTTCAAGCCCCACATTGGAATCTGCGCTGATAGTGTGGAGCCTGTTTGGAATTTTCTCTCTCCTTCTCTCTCTGTCCTTCCCCCGCTTCTTCTCTCTTTGTCTCTCTCAAAAATAAACCCCTTTTTTAAAAAAAGGATATTTTTATGACTTTGGGGAAGGGCAGAGATTTGTAAACAAAAGAGAAAGGTAAACCATTGAAAGATTAATAATTTGGCTGCATTGATAGTACTTTTGTCTACTGAACATTCCACAGAACAAAAACAAGCCCAAAGTGGAATAAGATACAGATAATCACAATATATATAACTTGTTAAAGAGCACCTGAGTGCAAGTCACTAACAAATAGAAAAATGAGCAAAATTGCAAGCAGCATGTCACAGAAGAAGGAACAGAAATGGCCCATACACCTAAAAAGATGTCTAACTTCATTAGCAGGAAACACACCCATAAATACCATTTGGCCACCAAATCGGCAGCGTCTGAAAAATTGAAATACCAGCAGTTGGAGAGATGATGACAACAGGAACTTTTCCATGTGCCACTGTTGGAGCGTAAACCAGCACTGCCACTTGGGAAAACAGTATCATCTAGTGTAGTCTAACACAGGTATATCTTCCAGGCCAGGATGTACAATCAGAGAAACTCCCGTGTGGGTGTACACAGCCAGGAAATGTACAGGAATGGTCGCAACAGCGTTGTTCATGATAAAAAGAAGGCAGGAGAGAGCCAATGCCCATCCACAGAACAGTGGATAAGTGCAGTGTATGTGTGCAGTGGGAGAGCAGGGAGCGTGGTGTCGCTTTGCAGGCCTTCCGTCAATTTCAGAAATCATGTTGAGTTAGAATAACACAGTAGCCTGGGTACCTTTATATATAAAGTTCAGGAACTGGAAAACCTAAGTACATTGTTTTAGGGATTCATGAGTAGTAAAACTAAAAAAACCGAAAGATTAACATCTAAGATCATAGTTTCTTGGGGGTGGGGTAGAGGAAAGCAGAGAGGAGCACAGGCTGATAAGCACTTGGTAGAGGCTGGTAGAGGGATGTTTTGACCCTTGTAAATAGATCAGTTCTTGAGTTAACATGTACATTCGGTGCAAAGCCAATCCAAATGCCAAAGAGTATTTATTTTTAATACAATTTAAAAATTCACATGCAAGTATAAACAGATGGTAATAGGATCTTCATTGAACGGGGAGAAAAAAAGGGAACTTGCTCTACCAAAAAAATTGTTTTTAAGTGCAATTAAATTTTACCCTCAAAAATAGAGTCAGTGGGAAAGAATTTTAAAAATAGACTCCAGTGCTTTTAAGAATTTAGAGTACACTAAAGGTGGCTTTTTGAAATCATCCTGACCGTGATGGATTATTCAATAAAAGGTGCTGGTTGAAGTAGGAGAAAATTTATTCCCATCATGTCATTCACCAAAAGAAGTCCCAATTGGACTAAACAATTTTCAAGAGTAAGTTATAAAAACTTGAAGACAATATAGTTAGTATTGGGGGAGGGGGATTGGAGAAGTTTGTTCTAAGGACGTAAGCAATGGCATGAAGCATCGCTGTCCAAACCAGTCACCTGTGCACACATAGACACCACCCCCAGCATGTGTATATAGGCCTGTATATTTTTAAATTAATGTTTATGTACTATACTAAGACACATAAGGCAACAAATAGAAAAGAAAAGGTGAAAATGTTTTAAAATAATCTTTTGTGTGTATTGTAAAAAAATACCTTTGACTCTTTCTTAAAAAATTATTTTCTTTTAGAGCTACACGATTAAAACTGCTTCATTTTTCAAACTTCTAATTTTAACATTCTGTGATAAAAAGAATTTAATTTCTGGTTCTAAGGTAAGTTTATTTTAATGCTGGTTTTTAATGGTTATTGTAGCTAAACAAACCACTTTATTAAGATCTGCTGATCCACATGACTGCTTACTGAAAAACAGTGCTCATTTTCAGTTCCACCTACTACTAGTCTTAAAAAGTGTTTGTTGAAACCTTTATAATAAATGTTCATCTTTCTCACTGTCAGTAACTTGTTCTTGCTCAATTGCAAGTGTGGCATTTTTATTGTTGGTGTATATACATAGACATAGATATATAGATATATAGGAATATACATAGGTCTATATATAGGTATATATCTATATATCTATATGTATATATATAAATGGGTTCAAAACCTACTGAAACTCCTGTTTGGATTTCATATCCCAGTCTTTCAGTGTGCACTTATATGAGAATTTATAGGTGACAATTTTTGGTACCACATTTTGGTAAAGTTGAAGCACGTCTAACTTTTGAATATGCTTTTAACGTGAATTCTTTTGGGAAAAATAGCTACTTTCTTACTCAGTGTTAGAATGTCATCTTTACCTTGAAGGGTCAGATAACGTGTGCGGTGTTTGTTTTTTTTTCTTTTAATACCTTTTACATTCCACATTACGGACAGGCAGTGGTTGCAATAAAATACTGTAAGGGTGCTCGTATGTGTAAGGTAAAATCCATGAGGCCACTTGCTCTGTGGGGGCACACCAAGTACAGTATTCTGCAAGATGATAGTGCCATTGTCCATGGCTGTGCTTTGTGGAGCTCAAACTGCTGCTTGAAGCAGACCTCACGTTTTCTGCATGCTTCCTGACCACTTAGGTGCGCACTGTGTTAATGAAGTTTGGGTAAAGCTGCTTTACTCTTCTTTTTAAAAATTTTTAAAAATGTTTATATATTTTGGAGAGAGGAGACAGAGCTCAGGCAGGGGAGGGGCAGAGAGAGAGGGAGACACAGAATCTGAAGCAGGCTTCAGGCTCCAGGCTGTCAGCACGGAGCCCGACGCCAGGCTCGAACCCACCAGCCGTGAGATCATGACCTGAGCCGAAGTCGGAGGCTCAAACGACTGAGCCACCCAGGCGCCCCTCTTCTTTACTCTTAACATAATTGGCACCTGATTTCTTCCTGCACCTCCGTGGATCATCTAGTTTACGTCAGAGTCCACTACCTTAAACATTAAGGGAGATGAGTTACCTCACAGAAGTCGCAAGATTGGGCAGTTCCAGGATCAATAAGTGCAGCAGCTCCTGGACATCCTCAAGGACCCAGGTTCCTTCCCGCTTTCTGCTCTGCCAGCCTCGACGTGTTAGCTTTGTGCTGGAATCGCTTCCTTCCGGGTCTGGGTCCTACAGTTCAGACATGAGGCCAACCACTTGAGAAGAAGACCTTGTTTCCCAGCTTTTTTTTTTTTTTAAGAGAAAGAAACTTGCTCACAAGCCTACCTGCATGGTTCCCCTCCCTTTTCACTAGGGAAGTTGGGATACATAAACATGCCCAAACTAATAACTGGAAAAGAGACTGGGACCACCATGGTAGACTTAAGTAAGTCTCACCTCTTGGGGCTGCAGTTGGGCTCCCCTTCCCACTAGCCTCTGGAGGAGGATGTGCTAGAACTAAGCCACGTCTCTGTTAGGAAAACGGAAGGGAAGAATGGCTGTTGGCAACTACTGGTTTGCTTGAATCTCCTGCATGGATCAATGACTGCTGTTACTTAGGAGCCTCTGGGAGATTCCCAAAACCGCCCCTCTGATTCTACACCTACTTTGTTTTCCACACACATACACAACAACCAACTCTTGCCACCTCTCCATCAGAATGAACAGATGTACTCTTGTTTGAAAGTCAGGGTAGTCCAGATCTTGACTCCGTAAACAACAAGGTTTTGGCACACCCCTGGCTGGAATAGCCAGGGAACGATAAAGAACAGAAAGCTGAAAAGAGCTTGAGCTACCTGAACACAACCCCAAGAAAACCGAGTCCCTGGATGGGAAAAGTTCTTTCTTGGGTATGACTAGTTTCACCCATAACAAAAATAGGGCCATGTAGTTGAGTGCTTGTGCTTGGTGAACACATCCTCTGTCAATGAAAAAAGATGGCTCAAATAGCATAAGAGAGGGAAAGGAAATAGATGTGGACTAAGAACCTACTTTATAGTGGCTGCTATTTACTGGCCGTCTGCCTATGTGGCAGGTGCTTTATGCAAATTTTAAGAGCTGTTGAGTAAGGCAATTATTAGTGCCACTCTGCAGAAGAGTAGGTAGGTAGCTTCTAACATGGTCCTCAGTGATCCCTGCCTCCTGGCATTCATTCACGCTTGAGTGTGAGCTGGACCTAATGACTCTTCTCTAATGAATACAGCAAAAGGGATGGGTGTCACTTCTATAATTAGTTTACAAAAGACTGACATCCGCCTTACTGGTGTGCACCCTGGCTCTTCCTATTTGCTTACTTTAAAGGAGGCCCACCTGGCAAGGAACTGAATGTAGCATCAGGCCAACAGCCAGAAGGAACTGAGACCTTCAGTAACAGCCCACGAGGCACTGAATTCTACCAACAACTGCTGAGCGAGCCTGGAAGTGGATCTTACCCCACTTAAACATCACGATGATTTCTGCCCTGGCCGACACCTTGATCATAGCCTTGTGAGAGATG